AAAATGTATCAAGCGTCAAACAAAATATATTATTGTAATATATACACTATTGGATAAATAAAAAATAATAGGGGAATAAAAATTTGGATTCCTCTTTGGTCGCGCAGTGTAAAGAATATTATTTAAATAATGCTTATTTTATAGTTCAGATATATATTAAAATCCAAAATGGAATAAATTGTGTTAACGAGTATAAAATATATTACATATTATATCAGAATAATACAGTGCGCTGTGTATATACATATAAAAAAAATTGTGCTTTAGTAAGAATAATTTACTTACTGTTTTATATATATAATTCAAATAATATCACTGAGCTAAAGCTTAATGGACAGTTACAATGATATTTTAAAGGTTTTGCGCAAAATGAGATTTGTATTTTTCCATGGAATTTATTGTTTTGCCGTAAAACAAATATTTTATTTACTATAAAGAAGTTTCATCCTAAATTTAACATTTTTTTTGTCAATATTAAATGCTATGTTTATTATATTTGCATCATATTTAGAAATTATTTTTTTTTTATAATTATAATTCTTACTTTTTGGAATTTGTTAAATGAATAAATTTTACGAGTGTTCAAATTAATTTATTATGGTATAAATTATATAGCATATATGCACGAAGTGAAAAAATATATAATTGAAATCTTTTTCTTGTTCGTTATAAATAAAAGTACAATGCCTATTGCTCTAAGCAAAAATTTTGTAAAATATTATTCTACCTCAGAAATATTTCTCAGAAATCTGCAATACTATAGTAAATATAGGCATATATGTGGTATACATAATTGTCGCAGCATATGGAAACTTTCATGAGCAAAAAAAATTAAAATAGTAAAGTGTTCTTCATTCAGTTTTTTATACTGAACATTATTATTAAGAACATATACTTTTCAATGCAATAAATATATTTCTTCTATATGGAACAAAATTAGGAAATATATATGTAAGAATATTTACACACACCTTAATAATCTAAATTAATGCTTTATTCTAATAAATATTTATAAATACTCCTGTAACAATTAGTAAAGCACTAATAGTTCTATAACAATATCATAAGTTTTTTTTTTTTTTGCAATATTTATAATAAAGTTGTAGAAGATAAAACTAAAAATAAGGAAGCTTTCAATGGGTAATGTACATAGTACATTGAATTAATTCTTAATGTTAACTAATTTTACATAGTAACAAAAATTTTGGATAAAGTATATATATAGTTTTTACATTATACATATAATTTAACATGAAAAACACCCAGCAAATCTAATGAAGACATTGATTAATGATTATGATATAAGAAATCTAAAATAATATATGTTTATTTTTTTATTTAATTACGTATAATTGTGTGTCTTAAGGTAAAATATATATCTCTTCTATGAATGTTATATTTTGTAACAAAATTTTTTTCAATGTTTCCTCTCTTCATTCTATAGTATTATATTTTTTTCGAAATCCCAGATTAAATTAATCTTAAACGTATATAATTCTTGTAATTTAGGATTAAAATTATAATCTTGACGAAATTTTTATGAACTTTTTTGATAAACGAAATATTATTTCCTTATTCAATAATGAAAATAGTCCTGATTAAAATGAAATCCGTGTTCATCATTGATTTGGCAATAAATTAAGTATTTTTATCCCTGATTGTACTTATATTTAAAAATACGTATTTGTGTTTAATAAAAAATGTTCATTAATTACCATTCTATTACGTGGGATATTAAAGGAAATGTACATACTATATTTTTTATTCGAGTTAACGAAATTATGAATGCAACAAATAGTATATAAGCTTTTTACAAATAGGCATTATTGGTTATAAATATGTAAAAATATCTTTATAATCATTCAATAAGGATGATTTTTTTAAAATTTTATGAGATGCGAATATTTTTTTTCAAGTAATTTTTTATCTTTTATATGAGACATCAATAATGGAAACACTTATGATAAAAGTAAAATCATAGAAGGTGCAATACATTTGTGCATTATATTTCACTGCATAACTATATCCACAGATTTAGTTGCAGCTCTTGTTATGTAAAACCTTCTTTATCATATACAAATTAAGTTAATTATCTGATCCATGAATCAATAGCTTATTTTCATAATTTTGTTCTCTTTTATACCTTATAACATGATTTAAGTCATCAACAATATAAACATTAATTATTTCAAGGCTATCCCATATATTGGGAATAATATAAATGGTGATATTAGAAATTATCCTATATTTATTAAATGTCATATATGTTTTCTTAAGATTTAACTTTCTATAATACAATATATTAAAAATTATAGGAAAATTTAAACATATTAGATATATTTCTTTAACCATAATAAATACCTTAAAATAAATCGTAAATTATCTTCCTAACACATACATATTTAAACAAATAAATATAAAATTCTCTTTTATAATTCATAAATATATTATTATAACTTAGACATTAAAATTTTCAATGTTAGGAAAAAAAGAATATATATTTCTATTCCTACATATTTATATATTGAACTATGATATAGATATTTTATTTATGTTTATACAACTCATAGGAGAACTAAAAAAACTTAATACTCTCCGATTTCATTATATTAAATAATTCAATTTATTTTTCCATATATCTAAAAAATATATAGCATTTTTGTGATTCTTTTGTGTAATAAGTTCAAATATATGTCCAAAGTTAATATCTTTTCCATAATGGGCATTAAATATTTTAAAAGGATACATTTAAAAAAATCGTCAACACTGTATAATTGTTTTGTATATGAATTATGACTTATTCTTTAGTTTATTATGCATCGAGGGTACTATAATTATGTGAACCATATTATGATTTATTATTTAGGGTTATATTTATATTAATTTTTTTGTAGTTTCTCTATATATAAGCTTATTATATTTATACATTAATTTATATACTCTGGATTAGATGTATTATCATTCTTTTATGATCTAAATTATATTTTCTGCAGTGCTTTCATGATATGGCTATTTTAAAAAATTTTAAGAAAAAGCATTACTATATTATTTATTATAATAGTTTTGTGTACAAACTTAAGTATTTTTGCAATTTATATAAGTAAACATATATATATGTATATTATTTAAAAGATAAAACCCATCTTACTATCAATGTCTACATACAATAAATTTATTGTATATAAGAATGAAAAATAATAATATAAGATATGAACAAAATGCAATGCGTTTAGAAATATATATTAATAATATTATGTAATACAATGAGAATATGTATATATATTAACTTTTGACACATGCATAAAGATAACTTCATATATATGAGTAAGAAAATATATACGTCAACTTAGTGATACGCTTATTCATAGGGATTATATTGTTGCTGTAGCGACACTATATTATTAAGATGTTTTTTTTCACAAAAATATATGTAATATAAATGATAATATGGAACATAAAATTACATTAATGATATATTTCAACGCACAAGGAGAATTATTATGGATGCAAATTCTAAGAACTATTATGCATATATATAATTATAATTGCATATATTTTTATTTAATTAACCTCATCAATTTAAATGTATCCATTAATTATTAGGTCCATAGTTTCTTTTTGTAAATAACTATGACGAAATTGCAATATTATTTAGAGAATATCATTATAAATTGAATTGATATTTAGATATATATTTCCATTATTAGCACATAATCTTAAATATTAAACTGTCTTAAGAAGAATGAGAATAATTTCTTTTACATTATAATAATTAATTTTGTTGTAATTAAAATACATCATAACATAAATATGATTATTTTCATACTGTATATATAATAATTGTATGTTTTCTAACATGTAGAAATTTATGTGCAATTCTATAATATACATTCATTATAAACAAATATTTTAAACTCTTTTACACAAATGAACGAAATAAAATAACATAAAATAAGTATCTATCAATATTCATTTCTCATTATATTTTTAAATATTTTACCCAAATAAAAATGAAATATATATTTTTATAAAAACTACTATGTTTTTCGTGAGACATATTTAACTCCTACATATTAACATAATAAATATTCATATTTACTAATCATTTAGAAACATATATGAAATTATAATTATATAAAAATGTCTAATATAATACAATTCCCAAAATAATAATCGTCACATAATCATTTTTTCTTATATTAGCTATCGAAAATAATTAATAGCATTACTTTATTACACATTGGAAATCGTACATTCTTAATGCGTAAAATATGTAATTATAATTTAATGATACTAAAAATAAAATTATTGTGTTATGAGAAATAATTACTTCAAAATAAAATAAATATAAAAAATAAATTATATTCTATAACTCGTCATTTAATAGGCTAACAAATATTGCATTTTTAAAAAAAGTACTTATAACAATATCACATGTGTGGACGCATATAATTCCCTCGATATTAAAATATGTTATAAGAATTGTAAGAAAAAATAAAATATCCACTTATTTATTAACATGTTTATTTAATAATTGAACATTAATTTTAAATAGTACAATAAAATTGTAGGATTTATACATAAATACATTAAAAAAATGTTTTTTAATTTATTATTATAATTTATTTTATAAATGCAGTAATATATTATCTAATATAAAATATTATTATTTTATTATATTATTATGATTCATAACCTATAAAACATATATTAATGCAAAATACACAATAATAAAAAGGAGAGAGAAGGTAATTCTTTAATATTACATGTTTTTTTTATTTATGATCCTAGTGCATAATATTCTTACATTAAAATTTGGAACAATAACTCATTATGTTAGCGAATTATTATATATTTAATATTTTCATTATATTACGTTATTTATTATATATTTTCATGATCTCATTAATAAGATGATGCTTTGTATTTTTATTAAAACACTTATGAAAATTTTAAATTAAACATAATTCTAAATTATATATATTATAATAAATTTAGGGTCATTGATATAACATGTTATGTGTATTGTGTCTTGACATAGTGCTGAATATTTCAGATCCATGGTATCTATTATCTTCTTCATCAATATCATTCCACGAGTTTACTTTTTTTCCCATAACATAGCGTATCCATGATCTGAATGTCGTGAACTATCTCGTTAAATAAATATATATATATTAAAAATATAGTTTATTTTATGATAAATAATTTTTTCTAAATTTTTCATAAAATTCTTATGGTAGTATAAATATATATAAAAATAACCTTTTTATGCTTATAAAGGGAGAACAGAAAAATGGATGTTAAAAGCATTACTAAAATTGTAGAAATAATTGGAATAATAATATTTCTTTTGCATGGCTGTAAGACTTCTGGAAGTTGAATTACGCTACTCGAAGTATCCATTTGACTAATATATTGTTTTACAAGTTCTTCGATTTTTTTTAAAATATTATCTTCACTATAGTTTCCATTATTACTATTTTTATCTTTAATATACATGAACATATCATATGTAGCTGCGAGTTTTGGAAAATCAACATCTTTCATATGTATCTTTTTATTTTCGAATAAATCTCTATTTATTCCTTTACGATCTGGTACTTCTTCCTGATACACATGGATAAATTGATCATAAATATTTTGTATATCGTCAATTCTTTTTACGTTCTTTCCCAAAACACTATCATATATCCAATAATAAAAGTATTCTAAACCAGATTCTTTTATGCCATCAACAACATTAGAATTTACATCAACTAAATATTGCATAACATATTGGCATTTATTATCATAATCGGGTACACCATCCTTTAATTGATTATATTTATTGTGAGCACATTTCTTTTTCCAGTATGATGCTTCACCTTGACTAATATAATAATCTAATTTATTTTTACATTGGGGGAAATATTTTATAATTTCATACTATAGAAAAAAAAGTATGGATGAATATGAAAAAGCACATTACAATAAATAAATTTTTGTAAAATTTATGGATAACACAATATATATGTAATCATGCTTTAATTTATATTAATTAAAAGATACAATAGAATTAACCATATTCTATAATATTGTACTCTGTTTCAGGCAATCTATATAAAATAATAAATATTATAAAAAATGATGTATATTATCTTAAAAATAAGTATTCAAAGCCCTAGGTACCTTTAAAATGTACTCATATATAATTGTAAATTTAATATTTAAAAATATTAGTGCTTCATAACCTCATTAATTATTGTATAGTTTTAATAATGCTTATAATCTTACATGAGACATAAGGAACTATCTTATTTATTTTAGTGTAAGTATAGAAAAAAATATACATAATATTACGGAAAAAAACAATAATTATATATAAAGTTTTTAAAATATCATTAAAATAATCATTTAACGTAAATATTATTCAATTTTAAAATTACTTCCAATAAAAAAAACAAATAATAAATGTTAATATATGTTTTTAATTAGATTATACATATACATAAGGTTATCTTTTCTTATTCATAATAGCGTATATATATTTACATATAAATTAATATAAAAATGTATAAAATATTATAATAAATAATATTCATCAGAATGGATTTCTAATATCATTGATCTAGTGTATAAAATGATAGTACCAAGTTAAAATGAAAAATTTATTACTGTGCATATATCATATGTATATTCTATACTAAATATATAAAAAGAATATTAAATTACATATTTTTTAATAAGAATTTTTGACTGCACGTAATTCAATACTATAAATTTATATATAATATTTGCAAATATATTTTTTAGTGAAATATATAATTTGTTACAGCTTATTTCAGATGTTCTTTTAACTCATCTCTTAGGCATATTCATATGTGTAATAGAAAATATAGAATGAATGATTAATATTAATAGTATTCATTGTAATACTTCTAATGAGTCTATCTATTATTCTTTGAGAAATGCGTATTCATAATGATAAGATAATACCTTATTGATTATACTATAAATTTCAAGAAATTATGGTGTTTTTTATTATTTTCATGTTCATTGGGCAATAATACAGTATTTATAATAATAATTTCGTATTTAATTTTTTTTTTTTTTTTTTATTGAGCATGATTTTGATTAAAAATATATATGCTTGATATTACATATGAACAATTTTGTATACTGAATAATATATCATATATTATATATATTATGTTTAATAAATTAAATGAATAATTATGTAAAATATATTTTTGTTATATATTAGTTTGTATCAAAATATATTTTAATATTTTTTATTTTATGTAATTTATGAATATTTGTTTCAGAATTCAAAATTCCTTAGAGAATTTTGTATATTTAAATACTTTTCATGAAAATATGTAATAATTTATTTAAAAAATATGTATTTTTTTTATATTTTTTTTGGTAATAACTATTTTATTTATTAACTATGAGTATAGTCTTTAAATTGTTTTACGCAATGATAGATTTTTGTAGTATTATAAGTTTAAAGAAAGATTCTGTTTAAAATAACCTAGTTTTATATATTTTAATCCATTAAATATAACTAAATATATTTTTATTTCCAGACAATATATTTTCATTATTCCTAAATTTGTATATGAAATAAAAAATAATACATTATATAAAAATATACTAACTCCATTACTAATACGTGTAAATAATGTCATAATATACGTTAATATATATTTACTCTAAAATAATAATAAATTATTATACCATTAAATAATGCATATATATACAACAGGCTTAATATTTAATTTGTATAATACAATAAAAAAAATATTTTTTCTTTAGAAATAAATTTAAAATATTTCCCATTAAATATAAGAGTGTTGGATATTGTGCATTTACAAAAAAGCTAAAAGGGTATAATTATAATTCCTAATGGTAATAAAAGGAAATGATAAATCAAAATAAGTAAAAAATAAGGTTTTAGAAGAATATATATCCTTCCCATCATTTATTGGAATTATGCATAGAGTATTATAAAACAATTTCTAATAATATTTATAATAAATAGAATCCCACAAGTAAATATGCAATTTAATTTCCAATGATTTCATGATATTTTATTATTAGAAGATATGTAGAAAATAATGCAAAAGGATGTACAATAATTTTTGAAACAATTTTTTCATATATACGATAATAGTAATGTAACCAAATTAAATAATTGATTTTGTGCACTCAATTATGGAAAAAAATATAAATTAGGTAATATTTTAAACTAATAAAAAATTATTACAAAAAAATAAATTAATATTTTTTTAAATTTAATTCCATTAATGTGTGATGTATTTATAAATACTTCTATAAAATGCACAAAAATAATATGTATTAACAAAAATTACAAGAAATTAATAAATCGTACTCAAGGAATGAAATATACAATTGAATACTCAAAATAAATAACTGTAAATTAATATATTCAAATTCAATACATAAAGAATATTCAATATACATATTTCTTAAATGTAATAATTATGTATTATAACTAAGAAAGTAATGAGTTATATATATAACCAATAAAAGTAATAACTTGTGATATAATATATAAGTAAAATTTTTAAGAACACAAAATATATATAAAAAAATAAATCGTATAGTTAATTTTTAATGTATACGTCTTCTATTATGAGCACAATAAAGTTATTTATGAATCATAGATACTATTAATTTAACTATAAAACATATCCAAAAAATTTATTTTCATAAAAAAACGAACAAGGAAATAAAAATTCCTATATTATTTTATAAATCTTTAATGATTTAAATTCCATATTTTAATAACATGTAATGAATAACATATATAATGATTTAGAGAGAGTTAAGTACTACAAATTTGTCATGCAGTTATCATATATATAATAAATCACAAATACAATAGAATTGCATTATTATATTAGCAATTAAAAATTCTCTTATCGGAGTTATTTGTTTAAAATATCTTATTATTGTTCTAAAGCATATTGCTCGTAATTATAATATTTATAAATTAATGCATATTTATACATTTATTAATGTATAAAAAGTTTAAATTAGTTAATCTAATATCTCATACAATTCCTGTTGTATACCTTATGTTTTTTATACATATCATATAGTACGAGTAAAATGGAGCTAAAGATATTTTAAAAAAATATAAGCATGACGTACAAAAGCTAGACTTAGTAATCATATATTAGACATTCATAATATATTAAAAAAGTAAAACACAATGTATATGTTATATTAAAAAAGAATGTTTAATTTACTATACATACATGGGTTAGGCATATAGGCATTAAAAATCATGCAATATATATGAATAAATTAATCTATACTCCAGTCGTTTATAAAACTATAAATACATAGGTGATGTTGTTAACATAAAAAATACAATTATAAGTATTATTTTTAATGAATATAAAAGCAATAAATATTAAAGAATTATAATATCCTTATATCTACTTTTAAATTTTCATATATAATTTTTTTTTTGTGATTCCACGTATAAATATACATTTTTTAATTTTTTATCATATATATTTCTTGCAAATTTTAATAATTTCCACCATTTATTAAATTTATGCATCTTCTTTCTTCCTGTATCTCATTCATAAATTCATAAAGGGTACAAGTATATTGTACCATATTTAACATGAAGATGTGTTAAGAAATTTATTTTTTCCATTACTCTTTATTTCTAGTTTCCATTTCATATTAAAATTTTTTTTAATAATACAATTACATAAACAAATATTATTTAAAAAATAAATAACATTTTTATATACAAACAAACATGTTTCTTTATCAAAACGAATATTATGTTTAAAAATCCCTTTTTTTTTGCTATAGATTACAATATTATTAATTTGTATATATAATATACAAGATTTACTCCAATAATGTTTTTTTTTCACTTTTTAAAATTTATCTGTAAGTTCTATATTTTTTAATGACATCTTAATGAAGATAGCAGCATCTCTCTATCTTTATTTAGTTATATTTCTCTTTAATTTTTGAAAATAAAAATATTTGTAAAAAATAACATATATTTTTATTTTTAATGTATTTAATTAATGTATTTCATTTTTTAAAATATATAATTATTTTACTCTTGCAAGCTTGTTAAATCTAATATATTTCATTATTATATATATATGGTTAAAAAACTATAAAGAAACAATCCGTGTAACAAATATATATTTATTATCATACACGAATCACCAATTTTTTTAGAGTAACATCATTAAACGAAATATTTACATATATTTACAATATAATTAATATGTTTGTATATATATAAATTCTTTTTATTATCTAGTAAAAATTAATTTTATTTTTTGATCCTATAGTAGCTCGTTAAATTTATTAATATGTATCATTAATTTATTATAACTCATATATTTTTTAGCATATATTGCTTCATATTAAATTGATGTAATAATAAAGCACGTATGGATCCATCTGTCTTCTGAGTATCATAAATATAAACAAATTATATAAGCAATTATGATTATACATTTGCTAATAAAGTAATAATCGTATAAATTAAAGATTTGTGTTCAAAAAATATATAGTGCATATAAAAAAACTTACGTTTTATAATAAATCAAATACATAATAACTCATACTATTAAATAAAAATATCAATAACAAAATGAAATAAAATTCATGATAAAGGAGACAGAAATATTTGAATAATATAAAATATTACCATTCCGTTTCATGCTGCTTTTCATAAACATCAATGTACTTACATAATTCATATAATATAAAATATTAACGTCTATATCCAATTATTAATAATTCATTGCTATATTTATATACATAACACAGCAAAAAATACAATATTTTATATTATTAAAATTAATAAGACTTTATGTAAATTTTACTTTTATATAATACATATTTATGAAATTGTTTATTATTGTGTATTAAACACATATAATTAATTATGGAATATTTATTATAGACTTAATGAAAATTTAATGTGTATAACTATATAATTTATAGCAACTAATATATGTTAATATTCATTATGGTTATGAAAAATGAAATTATTTATATTCTCAGTT